CCCCTCCTCTCCTCCAGGACTCTCAGGGCCTCACGCTTCAGTGGAGGAAAGCTATTAAAACTATTTTTCTAAAGGAAGTGAGGGGTCGTGTCCTCTCTTTGGGGCTGAGTCGTTGCCCTTTCTATGCGTGGTTTGTTCTTGTATTACGCTTATCCCTCCATCCCACCCCATCCCTAACCCACACCCCCCCTGGGAGAGGCAGCACGGCAGCGGATGATGCCCTGAACCCCTTTGCGTCTCCTGCCCCTCTGTACCTGTCCCCTCCCTGCCTTGCTGCCTCAGTGACCCGGAGGTTGCTTGGAGGGAAGAATGGATGGGGAACCAGCAGAGCCAACTTGCAAGCCCCCCCCCCACCTTGTTTTCTTTTCCTCTTTTTGGCTCCAGCGTGCAGTGGCTTTAGTCAAGAGCTCAACAGGGGAAGGAAGGAAGGGAGGGAGGGAGGGGCTTCGGGACTTTCTCTTCCTCCTAGCTAGCTTTTTTCAGACCACAGAGGAGGGCAGAGCCACTCAGCCTTGGTCTCCCGCTGGGGAGAACCTACCGGCAGGGCCTCCTTCCTGAGATGCTTTCTGCCGGAGGTCAGGGTCAGGCTGCCTGCCCCTCTCTTCCCAGAAATGCAAAGGGAGGCTCGGCACAGGCTGCAAAGTCAAGGGAAGTGTTTCGCCCTTGGCTGCTCGGGGTTGGCTGCCTCGCAGGTCCCCGTCCTATCCCCCCCCCCACGACCATCCACTGAGATCATGGCAGTCCAGGCTGTGTCTGCTTCTCTGAAGGTGCCCCCGGGAAGACTTGGCAGTGCCAGAGGGGCTGCTTTGCCTCCTGACCCCTCCCCATCCCTACCCCATGGCCGAACAGGGCCCGGCAGCACCCGCTCAGAGGACAGCTGGAAAGACCCTCTCCCGCCGAGAAGCAGCCCTGCCCTGAGAGAGGGTCTCTGGGAACGCCTTGGCTGCTTCTCAGAGCTGGGCAAGGGGGGGGCCCTCTTGGAGAAGCCGCTCAGTTGGACAGGAGCGGAAGGGGGGTTGCTCACACGCAGCCACTCGCAGGGCAGACCCTCCAGTCAGGCTCCGTGGTCTTGGAAGGTGTTTTATTAGCGGACCGGCCCAGATAACCACCTGGTGCCATCCTTACAAGGCCCTCTTGATCCTGGGATGGAGCGGAGGGACCGCAGGGGGGCAGGCAGGTCAGGAATCGTCAGGAAAGGCTCAAGCAGCCGCGGGGGTTGGCGACGTCACCGGCGCTGTGCGGTACTTCTCAATCACCTCTTTCAGCCCCTTGGAGAAATGAAGGTCGGCCCCAATTGTGAGGTAGCCCTGGAAGGGGGGGGGGAGAAGAGAGAGAAGAGGCCGTTGAGGGGGCAATGCGGGGGGCTCACCTTGGGTCCGGCTGCCCCCAAGGGGAACTCGGCCTCCTGGATGGGAGGTGGCTGTACCGTCCTGACAGGCGACGGCCCACCTACCATGTGGTTGGTGACCACTTCCCTCGTGAAGTCCATGCCTTCTGGGAGTGGGATCTGGACCCCTTTCCTGGTCATATCTGCAAGCAGGGCAAAGGGTTGGAGCCGAAGAGAAAAAGGGCTAAGGCAGCGACACACACGCACACAGCCCTCGCATCAGACACCTAGGCGAAGAAGCCCTTGCAGGCAGGAATCACCGGGGGTGGGGGGCGTCCCATGGCCCTGCTCTTACCGTTAATGATGGGCATGATGGCCAGCTGCAGGAGGGTCTTCAGGGGGCCTTGCAGGGGGATCAGCTAGAAAAGGGGGAGGGGAGAAAGAATGAACAAAGGGAGGGGGAAAACAAGTCCAGGAAGCAGCTGCTGAAGATCCATCTGGCTTGGGGAGGGTGTGCTGCTCCGGCCAGCAGCTGGCGATTCAGGGTCTCGGGCAGAACAGACCCTTCTGAAGAGGCTGGACTGCAGGGCCTCCTAAGCAGCAGCCCACACAAGACAAGCCGTGCCCGCTCCTTGCCTTCTCCCCACGGTTTGCGGGGGGGGGGTTGTCCAGAGCCTCTGGTATTGACCCCTGAAGCTGCAGGGGTGGGCTAGGCGACCCTCCGAACCCCTCCCGACCCTGCCTTTCCCCAGCCGACACTTACTGCCAGAGATTCCAGGGCTGACTGGTTGGAGTAGATCCGGAACCTAAACAAGAGGGC